ATTTTAATTTGAAATTTGGCCGTCCTCAAGTTGATGTGTGCTGCACATGTGAAAATTTAAATTTTAAAATAAAAATTCCAAATCTAAATGATGCTGCGAAAAAAGTAACAGCCCCTGAGCTAATGGTCCATAAACGAAAAAGTAAAAAATTGTATAATGAACTTAAAATTGAAGTAGAGAATAAAAGCCCAAATCAAAGTAACGTTGTAGCTCTCTGTTTTGATTACATGCAAAATTTAAGTCTTCCCAAAATTCCCGTTCAGGAAATGTCTTATTAGAGACAGTTGACTGTATCGGTTTTCGATATATACATGATAATATCATTATTATAAAAATAAGAAAATCGACAATATTTCTTTACCAGGAAGGACAAGCTAAAAGAGAACCGGACAAAGTTTGTTAATTTTTGGATTATTACATTAAAAATTACATATCATTTTTTCTCATCAATAAGTTGATAACGCATAATGGCCCAAAATAATGATCTTATTTCTGCTGAGTTAAATAATTGTGCAAAAAGCATGCTCGTCGACTTCATAGTGACGCAATCTTTGCCTGCTAGTGTGAAATTGAGTGATGACATTTCAGCGTTTTTAAAAAATTCTTCTTCTACTCCGGTAACGCTTTCGACTGGAAAGTCAATAAAAGTTGCCAGTATTATCCTATCCGTGGTTGAGGAGTTCAAATCCGTGGCACTTAGTAACTCTAAGTTACATGATAAGATCAACCGTCTCAATATGACAGCTAATGCTTCAATTCCCAAATCAAATACTCAACCCATTAATTTGCCAATTACTGTACACCCTAAATCGGATACAGATACTCTTTCTAGACAGCCCGCAAACTAATTGACTGCTAGCCTATTTTCGTCCAAAAAATTAAAATTAATTTATGGTTCTCAAAAGAATTCATCTTCCAAGCTTGTCATCAGTACCGGTGCGTAAACATGTTGATATTGTCTCGAAGCTTGATCCATGTATTACGAATACCCTGCTAGAATCAGAATTGTTTAATGGTTACTCAGAAGTGACAATCAAAAAAATGGTTACAAGACACTCATCATACTCTTCATTCCGTGTACGCTTGCCTGCGGAGAAGTTTGATATTGTCCTCGATCCTACATTCTGGCACAATGGAGTACTCCAAAAACTAATATCTTCGTGTTTGTCTATTAGTCCTCCTCTTATAGATGTACATGTAAATAATAACAATAGTAATGATTATTGTCTATGTAGTGATTTATGTAATTGTAACCAGGTTATCTTAGATTTTTATCAAAATTATCGCGGTCTAAGAACCAAATTATGTATTTTAAAATGTAATGTTGCTCTTTTTGATTATATGTTTATATGTCTCATTGAAACCTGGATATGTGACAGTTTCCATGACAGTGAGCTAGGTCTTACCAACTATACTATATACAGATGTAACAGAAGTAGTTTAACAAGTAGTTTTTTTTGAGATGTTGGCGCTCTCATAGCTACTTGCAGAGATATAGTATCTAATTTAATTTACACCCCAACTATGAATGTGGAACATCTATTCGTTAAACTTAGTTTTAATAGTATCAACTATATAATGTGCTCAGTGTATTTTCCTCCTAATTGCCCAACATCTGTTTACGAGTCTTTTATATCAGTTGTACAATCTGTTATTCTCCTACATCCAGAATGTGTATTCATTTTTTGTGGTGACTTTAATTTGCCAGAGATTATCTGGTCCAACGACGATTTCGGCTTAATATACTCCTCTGTTTCCAACCCTAGAGTTCAATGTGTCCCTGATGCTTTTGTGTTTCTTAATTTTTTCCAGCTCAATGGCATCTAAAATCTTTGGCTGTATCTTGGATCTTGTGTTTTCTAAAGTAAAGAGGATCTATATTGAAAAATCTGTAACTCAAGCTGTGCCTTGTGACCCATAGTTAACCTGTTCTTGATCGTTCCCATAATAACTTTGACTTCCGCCGTGTTCCCTGTAAAAAAATATGTGAATTCTTACATTCATTTTATTGGTTGAACACTATAATGTCTCTCTATGTTGATAAGACTGCTGAGGCATTATATGATGCCTTAAATTTTTGCATTTTGAACTTTTTATCTTACAGTATCTTATGTACCTTCGACATTTCCGAAATGATTTTTTAAAAATTTTAAACGCATTGTTTTTAGTAAGAAAAAGGCACATGCTAAGTTTAAAGCTTCGCACTGTCCCCTGGAATATGCTGAATTCTCTACGCTTCGAACTTCTTACAAGGCGGAGTATAAGAAATGCCGCACTGACTTCTTATACCGTATGGAGTCTTTGCTAATATCTAATCCTAGGTCTTTTTGGGATTTTTTTAGAGAGCACAAATCCAACAATGAGATTCCCCAATCTATACATTTTGAGAACTTACAAAGTTCGGGAACTGAGTCAGTTTCTAATTTATTTTCCCTTTATTTTAATACGGTGTATGTTCCACCTTTGTCTATTAATCATTCTTCTTCTTGTTTGTTTTACGACCTGCCTTGTACTTGCTCATTCGACATCGATGATGTTGACTCTGGTTTAGATGCTCTAAAAAACATTAAGTCCATAGGCCCTAATGGCTTGTCTGGTATCTTCTTATACAGTATAAAGTCCTCAATATCTTTTCCGCTGTGGCTACTTTTCAGGCGTTCCCTCGATAGTGGAGTTTTCCTTTCCATTGTTAAGATTAGTTCTGTCATTCTTATATTTAAATCTGGTGATAAGGCCTATGTCAAAAATTATAGACCTTTGTCAATTTTGATCCACATATCTAAACCTTTTGAACAATTAGTATTGAGAAGTATCCAATCGCCTGTTAATTCAATTCTAATTGATGAGCAGTATGAGTTCAGACCTGGTCGCTTGGCCACTTTGAATTTAATGGCCTTTAACAATTTTATTTTGGAGGCTGTTGAAAAGCACATCCAATTTGATGTTATTTATACAGATTTTGCTAAAGCCTTTGATAGAGTTGACCATGACTGCCTAATTGAGTCCCTATACAAACCTGGGCTTGGCGAACCACTTCTATCTTGCTTCAAATCCTATCTGGCAGATAGAGTTCGATGGGTTAAAGTATCCGGGTGTAAATCTTCCATTTCTAATGTTTCTTCCGGAGTTTCTCAGAGAGGACATTTATCTCCGATATTATTTTCGCTATATATAAATGGCATAAAGGGGGGTGTCAAAAATTGTGAGTTACTCATGTTTGTCGATGACGTAAAACTTTTTAGTGAAATTGAAAATTGATCTGACTGCTCTGCGCTCCAAAATGATCTTAACAATCTGGTCTCGTGGTGTGATAGTATTGGTCTTCAGTTTAATGTAAATAAATGTCATTGTATGTCTATGGGATCCTTATACAGTAACGAATTCCTGTCAATTAGAATGTATTCAGAGAAGATTTTTATCTTGCTCAGGTTATATATTAAAAATAAAGCATTCCCCCATGACTATTCATTAGTAATGCGGGAACTCTGTCTTATCTCACTAGCAGACATGAGAGTTAATGCTAACATAGAGTTTATGAACAAACTGATAAACGATCGAATTGATGCTCCGTCATTCCTATCGTCGGTTAATTTCAAAGTTTCTTCTCACATTACTAGACATCACGTTCCTTTTGTAGTTCCTGTACAAACTACAAATTATGGGAATAATAATCCTTTACACCGCATAATGAGGTTGGTCAATGATAGCATCATTTATCAAGATTAGTAAAATTAGGTGTACTACTAAATAATTACCATTATACTTAAATAATTATTGTATTACTATGTTGTCTAAATCTATGTGTGTTTTTTGTATTAATTATTTAAATTGTAAATTCTATACTGTGAAACTGTTGTATAGGGCTCCGCCCGTTGATAAATAAATAAATAAATAAATATAAATAAAAAAAAGATACTGTATCCTTAGAAAGTCGTACATTTTTAAGAAAACGAAAAATATCTTTCGGAATTTCATCATTTTTTCAATTTATCTACAACTCACAATACCCAGGTACTATTTTTACTTATCCTCTCATTAATTATCTTAAAATATACATTTTGTTTAATGCAACCAGGAAGACGTAGAACAGATGTACAACTTCCTACTTCTAGTGCTTATGAAAACGATAGACTTCCTATAAAAGTGTCTAAAATGAATGATATTAAAAAATCGTATGCATACATTGATCATGGGTATAGAAAATTGTATGATGATATTATAACATGGCCAACGAGCAACGACGATTAATACAGTAAAAAAAAATAATGAAAAAATAATTTTCTTTAAGTTACAATAAATTTAAGAAATATTTAAGTATTATTATACATTTTTTTTAATTAAAGTATTGTCATTAGTTTTTTTTTATATTACGTGTTAAAAATATATACCTTCCTAATAAATATTAATAAAACATGTTTCTTGATATAAAAATTATGTTTTTTTATTAAACCATGAACTAATTATTAACTGACTAACTGAGTTATAATTATTTAAATAAAGTTATAGAAAATTGTCTTTTATAAGATGCCATTAAATAGTTTAGTACCTTTCTTTTTTAATATTTCATCCCCATACAAAACAAGATTAAACCAATACTTATATCTCAATAAAATATCATCTCAAACAAAATACGCTTAAATAGCTACACATTTTGTATGCTGCTAAATAATATAAATTATTTTATACTATAACATTTATTTTTTATGTATTGTAATTTATTCAAAAATAATTTTTCGTTGAGAACGCTGATTTGGTTTTATTTAGAATCACCGTACAAATATTGCCAGATCCTTAATTATTTCAGGGGGGCTATTGCCTCCCCGAACCACCCTGCGTATTCTAGTACCTTTAATTTTAAAATGTATCCTATGGTATTATTATTCTCGGGATAGAATATTACCTACATAATAAACAATTTTATCTAGTTAGTGGTCACACTGAACTTTCATTAATACCCTAATCACGAAGATATCAAGACCACAAGCAGAATAGATAATAATATTATTATAGTTACCATTTGAATGACGGTCTACAAATGTAATACCTATTATAGATTAAATAATGTAATATTGTACTGTATTTAATATATGATAATTCAAATCACAAACCGTGATTCATTGTTTGTAATCTAGACCTTGATACTTGTGACCACTGCTCTTAAGCGATCACAAATCACAATATTTTATTTGATCTAAAGCGGTACCGATTAGTGTTTCGTTATCATTTATGATAAAATATAATATTTAAAAGTGTGAATACATTTAAACGATCAAACAATTGATGAATAAATAAAGTTTTCAAAATTTAAATATAAGGTAACATTGAATAAAAATCTAGTGTTTTGAGTCATGTGGAAATGCCATAAATGTGGCAAACCAGTATATTTTGGTAAGCTATTGAATTAAGTAGTTAATTTTAAGGATATACATTTTTATTTTGTTTGTTTAGCGGAACGTAAACAGTCATTGGGCTATGACTGGCATCCAGAATGTCTACGATGCGAAGAATGTAGTAAACGATTAAATCCTGGACAGCATGCAGAGGTATTAATAGTGTATATTATATTATAGTAATTAATGTTTTTTTTTTATTATTATTATGCATTTACTAGTTTACTATAATTTATGTTTAAATTAGCATAAAGGTGTTCCATATTGCCATGTTCCCTGTTATGGTGTTCTTTTTGGACCTCAATTGTATGGTCATGGTACTAGAGTGGAATCTCATACTAGTTTCGGTAGAGTTGAAAATAAATATCCATTTGGGCCAAATGTTGAAAGGTTAGAACATTAAATTCATTGCATGAATTTTTACATGCTTTTATTGCATTGGGTTTTATCATAGGTCTGAATTGGACGAGAAACTCAAAATGTACAATAAATACTACGAGGGGCGTAGTGGAGAGATTCGTAGTCGCGAAGTAAATTATATTTTAATATTATTTCATACAATAGAATTTATATTAAATATTTTATAACTGTAGGTAAATGGTCGTCCCATACTGGAAGGATCATTACGAATTCATTGGGCTGTTACTGACATGATTCATTTGAAAGAAGATGATGATCAAAGAATTAAAAATAGAATCCTCAGAGAAACGGATGTGCCATTAATGGTAAAAAGTATAGTTATTAATCAACATTTTTCCAATGTAATGTTTTGTATTAATGGGTTTTCAGAAACTTCAAAGTAAATATGTAACAAATAATTCAAAAAATGGTCATCAAAATGGTAACAATCTAAGCAAATTTAATACATTACCAAGTAATTTATATCACAACGATACTAAGGATGAACTTGATGAGTTATTGAAAGTAATTTGATTTATAATTTTAGTAAATCAATTCATTTAAAATATGATTAATAATTTGAATTGTACATTGTTAAAATCTATATATATATATAAATGTTTTTCATTAATTCTATTCAAATAGATTTAAAATCATTATTTATTTATTTATTCAACAAATTTGGTTTGAATATTTTGATTTTAATGTCATAAAATGTACTAGGTTGAAGGAGAAGAAAATAATGATGAAAAATCACTTAATACAATAGCTAATATAGAAGCTATTATTCCAGATAAAAATGATGAATATTCAAAAAATTTTGAATCTCAAATAGAAAAAGAAGCAGTTGATAAAACTTTGCTGAGAAGTCGTTCGCTGGATGATGATATCAGTGACAATGATTATAATGATGAAGGACTTTCTGACCATCCAGATGAGTTTATTAACAATGTGGTATTGCGTCAAAAATCTGGTTCAACAGCAATCAAAAGAAGGCATGACATATTGTATTACCATATTTTTCTAAGTATAATATTTTTTTTTTGTATACTTTAGAACAGGAAGATTAAGTGGAAAGAATAGAACAAAATTAAAACGTAGATGTTCTATAAATGGTCATTTTTATAACCGAGAAACAAGTTTTTTTACTCCTCCATATGGTAGTCAAATGTCTGTTTGGGTTACTTCATTAGTCACAACACCTGAAGTTATTAATTTGATATTAGACAAGTACAAAGTTGATGGAAAAGCAAATCAGTTTTCAATATTTCTTGTATTTGATAATGGAGGTAAATAATTGACATTCATATTTACCAATTCATTCATATTTAAATTCAATTTTAGAACGCCGTAAATTATTGGATGATGAGTATCCATTGGTTGTAAGATTAATACAAGGACCACATGAAGATGTTTCAAGATTGTATTTAATGGAAAGCCGAACCACAGATGAAATTAGTTGTGATGTTGCTCAATTTTTAAATTTTAGTATACCAGAGTGTAAAGCTATTCTGGCCGGTTATGATGCTGAAGAAAAAAAACATATTGTTGCAGTACAAACAAAGTAAAACATTTTACATAATAAATTGTATATAGTATATATTTTGTAGTTAAATTAAATCTGATATCTAACAATTTAACTTCAAACTCATATTCTAACTTGTGATGATTCTCTATATAAAAATTAAAACATTTTAAAAATTATCTATTTATATAAAATATATAAGACTATTAACATTTATTTATAGTTTTATTTCACATTAAAAATTATAGTTTTTTGTATGTTTTAAAAAGTTTCTAGTTTTGTTCAAACTTTTTGAATTTTTTAAGAATCAATTAGAAATTTAAATAGTGTGACTTATCATCAGCAGATACTTCCTAGTGTGTATCTTTGAATTCATAGTGATATTTACACTGTATGTTTGAGATAAATTATGTTGTATTTTTAGGTATGAAGAAATAAGAAGAAGAATTAAACAACGCATGGAACAGTTAAAAGTTCGACTTTAATAACTAATTTGTGATTTTATTTTATTAATAATGAAAGTAATATTTCACTTTTTTTCTGTGAATAAGAAATATGTATTAAACATAATATGTAGTGCTTATATTTACTTATTTATATTTTCATAAAAAGCATATCTGCACATAAATACACAATATATATTTTATCATACATTCTACATAGTTTATCAATAATATAATGAATAAAATCAATGGTATTATTTATATTAGTAGATGTAAATTTATAACACTCATTCCATAAAATTTGACAGTTTAAAATTTATTTTTTACATAAATTCTATTACTATTTATATGGTGACAATTGACAATTATCAAGTTATAAGAATTTAAATAATGACTACTACAAATATGTTAATGGAAATATTTTGTTTAGAATAATTTTATTTTATTTCATTCAAAAAAAGTTATTATTTTTTGACTAGAAAAAGAAAATCAAAATATTATTATCTAAATGAATAGTTAACTATATGGTTTACTTATCATTTTTGTATATTTAACTAAGGATATATAGTGAATTCATTATAAGTTTTAAGATAAATTTCATGTAAAACGTGATCTTGATCTGTTTATCTGTTTATCTTTCTTATGACAAAAAATTAATTTTTTAACATATAATGAAATGTTTGTTATATACAAAAATATAAAAAATAAACATGTTTTGTCTGTTAATTATTGTTTAAATACATATTATATATTAGGAATAGGCAACTCAAGATAATTAGAGAGCCAATTTTTAGAACTTTAAAATTGGTTGGACTATAATAAAGAAAGGAAATATGAAAAATAAGTCATTAAAATTGATAATTTGCATTTATTTTAATCAATTTAATTTTATGACTGAACTAATACAATAAAATATGTACCTAATACCTATATCTAAGTTAGCTATGCTAATATGGATGCATATTATACTTAGAAATCTAATGATTTAGCTAGATTTGAATACTATAGAAAAATGTAATATCTATATTTTACAATTAATGTGATAAAAATAAATACTGATTAACGCTCAAAAGTTATAAAATGATTTGAATATGTAGCACAAACCACATAAAAAAAGTATACAGGCTGCCAGTTGCACATTTCTGTTATACATAATGTGTATATTTCATATGATGACTATCTGATATATATTTATTATTGATGTAATTAAAACTTGAAGTACAAATTGTTCTAATATTAATTAAATATATTTTTATTTATATTTATAATTTATTTAATATTGAAATAACAATTGGGGAAATTTAATTTACAAAAAATGTTAACTTAGATAAAAATCTATATTTCCTCTATAAAACAGACCGATTAAGACACTAGTTAATAGTTTTTTAAATAATAGTGTTAATTTTAAGTATTTATAAGTTTATTTTACACAATGAGTTTGCACTGACATTACACATAGCTTTGTTATTCCAGAAATAAGATATTAATAATGTATTTTATTACTATATTAGTATAATTAAAGTATAGATCAAATGAAGGTATAATATTTCCAACAGTACTTTATAAATAGTCTTCTTATTCTTCTATTAAACATTTAGAACTTTTAACTAGTACATCTGATTCCCAAGCTAAAGCCTCATGAAAAGATAAACAAATTATTGGGTATCTAATTCATTAGGATAAAATGTTTTCAAATTATAATTTTATAGTATAAAAATGATTGTACTCCTTAGTTTTCTGTATTAATAATTAGGGATGCCATTTGGGGGGAGCAGGGTATGCACTCGCCACCCTGAATTTTTTTCATCTTCAATTATTGGCCTAGGCGTCACTGATATATGGCCTTGCCACTTTGGCCTTCAGTTTTCTAATCTTTAATGTTGTGCATGCACCATGGCTGATCAGTAATCACTGCTAATCATAAATGTTGGCCTAGTGGTGAGAAAAAATTGGCCTCTTTAATTGCTTGCACCCCCTTAAAAAAACTGAAATGACGCTCCTGTTAATAATATTCTGTTTTAATCAAATTATGTCGTAATGTTTTTTTTAAATTAAATATGTATTTTTGTATAATATGTAATAGTGGCTTAAGATAATGTGATAAAAACATTCATTTTTTATTGTGTATTTCAAAAGTGGGATCTAAATAAACTACTAAAATTATAATCTATAAAACTATGTTCTTAATAGCTTAGTATAAGAAACATAGTTTTAAAGGGTTTTATTATAGTCTTTGTGGAGGATAAAAATAATAATTAGGTATTAGTTTATTACTAAAATATTTTTTTGACAAAGTTCTTAAGAAAATACTTTAAAAAATTATTTACCTTTAATATTATTATTATAAATGTATGAAAAGTATAGACTTAATTCATTATTTGAATGTATGATTTGTGAGACTAGCGCAGTTATGAGTTATGTGTACTAACCTGTTTTTGAATTACCTACCTATTAAAAAATATCAAACCGAATACCTATGATATCTACGGTTCACCAATGATTTTGACTAATGTTTAATCACAACAGATAAGTAATGTGTAGAGGTGCATTTAGAAATTAAAAAAGAGGGAGGACTAAGTGATAACATTTATTTCAAGTACATAAAAGCGATTCCACTAATATAAATAACCCCAGTAAATCGTGGTATCCATAAAAATCTTTAGTTTAAGGTGTTGGGGCTTCAGTCACCAAAGGTTAGGTAACCTCCCTTGTAACCGAACCTGAACAGTAATTCGTTTGCGCACATTCAACATTTTTTACCTGAAAATTAACTCATTTGCGTACAACGAAATATGTTGTTATCCTGAAACGGATGACTCGTTAGACGTTGCACCGTAGATCAACATTCTAAAAATATTTTTAACTCCAAAAGTCCGTATGTTTGAAATACCTGATACAATGGAGTTCTACATTTATTTATAAACCTATGAAGATATAAAATATATGATACACTGGTGTTCCACATTTATCAATAAACCTACGAAGATATTGATAGGTGTATCTTGATCGGTGTATTACCATGCAAGGGCGAATCTAGAAATCAAATTGAGGGGGGTCATTTTTTTCGAAATGACAAAAAGATAATACACAATTACAAAATAATTGAAGTAAATTATTACTTAAAATTACAACGTTATTAATAGGGATCGGATCTTTATGTACTTAAAACTACTGTAATATCATTAATTAATCAATGATAATATGCATGCATTTATGCACTAAAAAATTACGAAATATGCAATCAAAATATGCATTTTTAGCCAATAAAAACACCAAATTATGAACAAAAAAATTAAAATACGTTTTTTTAAATTTGCATAGCGTTTTATTTAATTTAATTTACATTATTAGCATTACACTGTACTACTATGGCTTTTTTTAATTTGATCAAATTTGTAACTGCGTCTATTATCACTAAGTAAATTATTGTACCATGATAAACTTCACTCATTGACTGATGGAGAATATTTGATGAATGTAAGATCGTCAACCTACAATTTATATTTTATTAATTATTTATTATTAATTATAATTGTATAATGCAATGATTTTTATTTGTGAGTAATTTTTATGCTTTGATAAATTTATAAAACGAATTTTTGTCATTTTTTAAGAACATTTTTATGTCATATTGGCATCTTTTTTAAATCATTTTAATGTTATAAAGGTCATTAACTTCCGAACTCTATATATTAGGCACCATAGTCCCTATCAAACACGATAAGTCGATAATAATTTATTTTTAATTAAACATTTATATTTTATGTCAATGCGTGGTAAATTGTAGTTACTATGTTTTATAAAACATATATACAAATTGTGGAATTAATTGTATAGTTCGTTAATTTAAATTGTTTTTTTAAAAAAATGTACTGAAATATACATTTTTATTTTTAAAATCCCAAAATGTGCAAATAAAAAACAAAACCATTAAATATGCAAAAATATGTAAATAAAAAATAGTATTATTTGATTCAGTAAAATATAAATTAAATTTGTATCCAGGTTAGCATTAAATTGGATAAATAGAAAAAAATATACAATTTCATAAATATCCGAGTTCTAGTTATTAATATATGAAATTGTTAATTTTTAAAATTGTATAACAAAGTTTAATCTTCTTTGTTTTATTTTTCCAAATTTAGAAATAATATTTTCAACATTTATGGGTATATTCTTGTGAATATTGAGCAAAGCGAAAGTAAAGACCGGTGAAGCGTTCCTCCCCCATGTTTGAACGAAGCTATGTCTTAAGGCACCTGAAAGTAGAGAATGGATCGATAGTATTTTTTAACAAGTTATTAGAACCTAAATTAACGATTAGTGGTGTCATAGCAAGTATATGGTATATTATTATATAGACATGCGGGTAACGGATTGACAATCATCTTATCTAAGAGAAGTTATCTTTCTGTCGAAGGTAGAACTCTCAAATATTTCCACAGATTTATTATTATATTTATATTTATTCGCCAATAATATTATAGTGTATCAGTAAGCTTATAATCACTATTAATATTCTTAGAAGTTGGATAGAAATTATGATTTTATGAACAAGTGGTGATGTAGTTTAAATGTATATAAATATAATATGTTGTATAACATTTTTATTGCAAGAAAAAATCTAATTGAAAAAAAATGAAAAACGCAATTTATGCATATTTTAATTTTTAAATAAACACAAAGGACCTAATCTTAATGTTTTTCTTGGGGGGAAGAGTCACGAATCCCCTGGATCCGTGCCTGATACCATGTTGAAATCAAAATATTAAATGTGTAAAGCTATATGTAATCATTTAATTGTACCCATTATTCCCATGTCTACGTGTGTTCAGGCGTGGATACAAGGGAGGGCAATGCCCCCTCAAATTTTTTTAAAAAAAAAGGTCGGGGAAAAAATTATATGTATACATACTATGTAATATATTAAAACAATATTTAAAATTATTCTTATAACATATTTTCTTTATTAGATTATAATGATTTGTAAAATTCATATTGGTTTCGGTTGATTCTATTTATAGTTCTGTAATTTCTATTTTTTTATAATCGCATCAGCGTTGGCTAACGACGACGTAGACCGTTCACGTTATCGTCGTAATCACACATA